AGGCGTCTTCTGTGCCTTCATCTGTCAGTTGAGCACTGCCTGGAAACTGAGCAAGTCATGGCATCTTCAGAAAGATCTGTGCGTGCTGATTGTCCATTGATACTGAAAAAAAACCCAAGGGGAAAAATACCCTTAAAAATGAATTCTGTACCTTGGTCGTGGTGGCCCATACCTGTAGCCCCAGTATGTAGGAGGTTGAACTGGGATGATTTCAAATTCAAGACCGCGCTGCATTACATAACATAAGTCTGTCTCAAACAAACAAACAAACAAACAAACAAACCTAGTATGTGGAACAGTGATTCCTACAAGACCTACTCCTCACTTAGAGATCTGGCTGCTGCCATCACTCTATTTTAATAGAGCTTATCAAGGAGAACAGATCTGGGCTGGCCCAGGATCAAACCTGAGCTGTACCAGCTATGAACTGCATCAGCCATCTACAGGGCATTAAACCTGCCTGCGCTATAACCGAGACTGAATCAGCCAAGGTGGAAAGATGGGTATAGCCAGAAATGAGGGTAACACATCTGTCATTCCAGTACTTGGGAGATGGAGGCAAGAGGAACAGATTTATTTATTTAGTGTGTGTGTGTGTGTGTGTGTGTGTTTGTATGAACATGTATGCAGGCATTTCAGTTATAGGCTCATATCACCATGCCCGACTTTTTACATGGCACTGGAGGATCCGAACTTAGGTCCTCATGCTAACGTGGCAAGCACTGTACTTACTGAACCATCTTTTTAGCCCCAAGAAAGAAGACATAGGACATACTAAATATCTCACAAGTAACCAATATTATTCTTCCCTAGTTATTGTTATTATTATTATTGCTCCAAACCACCAAGTTCTTACCATGTGCTTCCTTGCTGTTCTGTGCACATGGCTTTTCCTGTTTTAACTGAACTAGTGCCTCCAGAGCATGCACTGTTTGCACCAAGACTCTAGCATTGGCTTTGGAACCAAATGATACTGAACGGCTGTGTGGCTTTAGGCAAAAGCTTTAGCCTATCTGAGCTATTTCCATGATCTGGAAAATGGCAGTTATTAGAACATATTCCCTCTGGGGATGCTGTGATGATTAAGAAGCTACTTGGTGTAAGGGGCTTGACACTGTAAGTCCTGATTTATCAAGGCAGCCCTTGGCAGAGGGCGAGCTCAGAAGTCTCCCAGACTGCCTTATTCTTTTAATTTTTTTTAACTTATTTAGTTTTATTTTATGTGTATGAGTATTGTGCCTGCATGTATATGAGTGCACCACATGCACGCAAGTCCTGGGAGTACAGTTACACACGGTTGTTAGCTGCCAGGTGGTTGCTGGGATCTGAACCTGGATCCTCTGCATAAGCAGCCAGTGCTCATACTGCTGACCCATCTTGCCAGCCCCTATCCTCTGTTTTAAAGTAGGGACAAGCAAGCATTCTCTGTAAAGCACCAGATAGTAAATATTTAGGGTTTTGCAGGCCAAGAGTGGTTCTCAGAGTAACCCCCTGGTCCCCAACTCTACTTTGCGTATAGTGGCTGTCCTTTTAACTATTAGAATTGGTGGGCTTTTTCTGGAAGAAATGGTGGTCTGGCTCTCAAAGCTACTAACTAGGGCAATCTCAGGCCTTTCTAGATGATTTCAGAAGTGGTGATATAATGAAGAAACCAGTCAGCCCCAGCCTCACCCAGTTATAGATCGGATCATGCCTCTTAAACATTCCAGGCCAGGGACTCTTCTGATTTGCAGCAGGGGTCAGGCTTGTAGTTCCCACCTCACCTCCCCAGATTCAGGAGACTGCAAGAGCTTAGGGATTTAGGAGTCTTACTCATGCTGAACCAGTGTTCTCATTTGAAATTGCACCACCTGCCTGTTGGTATGGTAGGTGAATCTGCTTCATCTTTTCAGGCTGTTCTTCCCGGAGTGGTGGCGGGGGTGTTGGGGGGATTATCTTGTTGTGTCCTAATGGCATACACAGTATGCTTGCCTGCGTGCAACCCCAATATTGGATCAGACTCCTAGGAGAAAACTGCAGGTTTTTCTGATCATTCAGTTTGGAGCCCTTGAGCCTAAGGCAGGTTGGTGTACTGTACTTTGACACCAAGTTCACCTACAGCATGAGGGAGAAGGCAAAGTAGCAGTTTTGCAGCTTACAATGCCAAACTCTGCATACACCGTCTGGGGCTCCAAGCTTTGTGTTGTTGGCTGTTTACATAGCCCAGGAAACACAAAAGCAGCAAAGGCCAACATGTTCCTTCTCCTAGCCAGACCAATCCCAGCCAAGTTCACTGTGATAGGTGTCCCCATGATTAGGCTGCCAGTAACAATGTAAAATTAAAGCCCAGACTTGCCAGGGGGTGGGGAGGTTAGCCTGATAGTTTCCACCTTTTGTTCAGCTGCTGCTGATTTTTGTAATTTTGTTTGCAGAACCCTATGATTTGAAAACCTTTGCATTTATTAGTTAATCTTTCCATTTTAAAAAATGAATCCAAAACTTCCTGGAGAATCAGCTCTGGTTGCTGAGCCTCATGAGTTATTGCTGTATTCTGCCCTCTTGTGACCATGGGCTTCCATATTTAGCCTCTGTGCCTTGATTTCCATATGCGCAAGGTTAGTGCACACTTCAAAGCTGGGAAGATAGCTCAGACAGAAAAGTGCTTTCTGCACAAACATGAGGACGAGCAGTTAAATCCCAAGAACTCATGTAAAAATCAGCTGGATGTGGTGGGGCATGCTTACAATCCAAGTGCCACGGAGGGAAAGTCAGGCGAACACTCCGGAATTCACTGGCTGGCCAGCCTAGCGTAATGGGTGTGCACTAGACCACCCCACCTTTGCTGAATTCATAGTGAGAACGGCCCACTTGGGTAGTACATGTCATTGTAAGCTTGCATTTTGGTTTTTGTTTTGTATGGCAATTCTCGTTTTGTCCCTAAGTTCAAAGGTTCTTCCTAATTGAGAGACCCTGTCTCAAACAACAAGGTGAACATCACCTGAGGAATGATACCCAAGGCCAACCTGGCCTTTACATGAAAGTACACACAAGTGCACCCATGAACATACATGTGCATCCACAGGAACATACATGCACATAGATGCATACAAAAGTGCATGCTTCGTCAACCTGTGCACCATGATAATACTCCCTGCCTGGTCCCAAACTTCGTTCCCTGATTTAGAAAAGCGGGACCATAATGGAACCAACTTGATGGAGTTATTTTAAGTATCAAGTAAGTTAAAGTTAGTAAATTTCTTACAACAGGACTTGCTTGCTACACATGCCGTGTAAGTGTTTTAGCACGTAAGTGGGATAGTGCCCAACATAGATCAAAACGCAAATTAATGTCTTGTCGAACAAATGTCTTCCAGAAGGATGTTACAATTTTAGTCATTTTAGTGTAGCTGCTTTCTGCTGGGGTTCCTGCATTGTCTCCAAGGTCCCTAGACCTCTGGGGTCTGGAGCTACATGTGTCCCAGTGCCCACACTGGATATTCTACATGAATAGTGTAAGAGGTGCACGCCCTGGAAAGGATATTGCTGTAAGCAAAGGGGTGTCCAGAGCCCAGAGCCCTGAAGTCCACCAGCACCACCAGTAATGTCTGGGACAGAAGCTACTAAGCAAAGCACCAGTGTTCTGACAGCTTAAGACATCTTTAACTGCGATAAGAAGGGATCTCGGATTTAAATTCAGGGCTACATCTCTTGAGATGCAAATAGAAACTAAAACCTTCTCCAATATTTATTTTATTATTTTTTTGGTCTTTTTGAGACAGGGTCTCCCTGTAGCCCCAGCTGTAGACCAGGCTGGCCTCTACACATATCCCCTTGCCTCTGCCTCCTGAGTGCTGAGTGCTGGGATTAAAGGCATGCACCACCACAGCCAGCAAACCTTCTCCAATTTTAAAGAGATGAACTGAGCCTGCTTTGGAGGAGTGTAAGACTGCTCTGTTTGGGCCATGAATGAGCTATGATAGCCATATTTTCAAATGTGAATGAGGAGGTTTATTAAATACACTAGTATAAGCCACTGTAGAAGAATAGCAAGTAGCAGATAGATGATTGATAAATGATTGATAGATGATAGATAGATAGATAGATAGATGAGATAGATAATAGACAGATATATGATAGATAGATAGATAGATGATAGATGGATGATAGATAGATAGATAGATAGATAGGTAGGTAGGTAGATAGATAGATAGATAGATAGATAGATAGATAGATAGATAATAGCCAAACACCATCAAATCAAATGCCAAAACCATGGCAGCCGCTTGTTGCTGTGGCAGAAGGAGCATGAGGGTGTTTGCTCACTTCTTGGCTGACAAGTAAACAGGCAGGAAAGAATGTCAACACTTGTGCCATCCCATGGACTGACTGTACATTTAGTGTGGGTGGGGTCTCT